ACCACAGCACAAGTCAAACCACAAGAAGAATTGAAGAATTTTATCTCCCATTGCCTGTGTGACCCTTTCCAGCCAGAGTCCATTCCGTGGCCTCTCCCAGTGATGGCCTGCGTGTCATGCCACCTTTCTTCATTCCTGCAGTGCTTCTATGGCTTTTCTTACCACCCAGCTCTGGCGGTCTTCTAGTGCAATTCTTAGAAGATAAGCTTCTCTCATGGTTCAGGTGTCTTATCAAACAGGCCTTGCCTTGCTCTGTGTAGTGACATGTGTGGCACTTTGCTTTGAAGGACGAGTAGCTTCACAGAGGAGCTGAGTTGATCCTTCCCAGCTAGCTTAACTGAAAGGCAGTGACTACAACCACCAGCTCTGACATTTCAGCACTCCAGTCCTCATTCTGTTCTCTGTCAAAATTATTCCCATAACTCCCTTCCATCATAAAAAAGCAAGCCTGAAAGCAAAGAGGAATAAACATAGAGTGGTTTATAATTGTATGCTAGGAATAATTAAACTTTTAGTGAAAGGCTTCCATCATTTCTCTGGTTTTACTCACCATGAGGAGGACAGCATGTCTCATCTCTATGAAGTCACATAGATGACTTGATTACAGGGCATGTTGCAGAGCTGAATCTGGGCACTTGGAATTTCCCTGCTGTTTTCTTAAGGTATTTGTATAATAGGAAAAAAGGGGGGGGGGGGTGGGGTGGGAAGCCTGTGCTTAGTTCCTCTTGTTATGATGTAGATATATTTTCCACACATTTGCAAACAGAGTACAGAACAAGAGTTCTTCAGCTATTTAAAGTCTTTGAAAGAAGAAAGGCAGTTTAGATTACCAGCAGCCTACAGTGTGCGTGGCACAAAAATGTCACTTTTAATGGCAAAGTTCAGGATAAAACTGTGTCAGCTAATTTAATCATTTACCATGAAATACCAGTTATCTTAATCTTACATGCAGTCCTTAAGTCTGCTGCATATTTTTGTGTAATTGAATCCTGACCCTAAAAGGGAGGAAGCAAGGAATTTGCTTTTTAGTGAATAGTTAGGCTCTAAATGTTCCTGTTTATAGATTGTATTTGTGGCATTGTCAGACATTTTAATACTGAGAAGCTAATATTTCTGATGAGTCTATTTTTTCTCTGTTCCATATTTGTTTTCCATGCTGTAGAAGTCAAACTAATGTTTGGTTTCTATGGAACTTAGCTGAGTTCTCTGGAAAAAGTGCAAATATTGTTCCCAGAGAACTTAAGGCAAATAAATTAGTATCTAACCCAGATGACACATTTTATTCATGTGGTTTGCTTCCCATCTAGATACCTGATGTATTACTTCAGCAGCAAATTCAACAAGGCCAAGATGTCTTCATTTTCCTTCAGAGCAAGAGCTGTAGGAGCAGTGTGATGGAAGTATTGGTCTTCTGTGGCCAGCCAGAGAGAACCCATCGACAGCTGTGATGAGCAGAGCAGACATGAGGAGACAGGAGGCAGCTGAAGCCAAAGAGGACCCACGCCTGGAGCTCTGTGTGTGTGATTGGAGCAGAGAGAGGCCAGGACCCAAGGAAATCCCAGCAGCAAGGGGAAAAAACAGATTGACTCTCAGTGACTCATTTAGCTCCTGGATTGGACAGATCTCTCCCCTGCTGGCAATTTGGCTGAGCATCAATGGACAGATACCAGGATGAATAGCTTAAAATAATTAGGGGTTGGGAATCTGCAAAACTGCTAGCCATCCAGTTCTTTACTATGCAATGTGAGGCACACACAAAAAAAAAAAAATTACATTTAGGTTATTAAATATTAAGTCAGTGGATTTACCTCCATTTGGTCCAGAACAGGAAACTGGCTGAAATTCAACTTTTATATCATTGTGTTGATGGTCTGTTTATCACTGAACAAGTGAGTGCTTTTTGGCAGGTCAGGCTCTTTGACACATGGGGCAAATGTGTGCTTAATTTCTCCCAAACAGAAGAATTAATGTAATAATAATTAACACAGATGAGAACAGAACGAAAGTCAAGTACAGTCTAGAGTTCAGTTTAATGCCAGGTATCTCACGTTTTGGGGGTTCTGGAGCCAAAGTTTTTCTATGGAAGGGAGAGAGGGTTTTGCCATGGGTGCTTATGGGAGCTGGAGTGGGCCTTGAATGCAGAGGCAGAATTCCTTGTACTTTCTATTTAATGCTCAAAACCAGAAGCAACAGGCTCATTTAGTATCAGTAAAGGTCAGTTAAAATTATAGAGACATCCTTTGGAGCAAATCCTCTGCCTTGTATTTGCATATTTATGAATTAGAGATTACGACAGGCTATTTCATTTATTAGAGCAGCACAGCTATAGTTAATAGTCTGTCAGTATTTCCATTATAAACCCCGTTTTTCAGTGGTTTAATATCTCAGCCATTTAAAATCACATCAGGAAGCAAGCTGGTCCTGTGCTGTTGGCCAGGTGCAGTTTTTTGGTACAGATTATTTTCAGTAATGAAATACTGTTCATCATATATGCAAATGAGCCATAGCATTTCTGCTGGGGCGACATAGCAAAGTGCCCAAGTTCATTGTGGCTTTGTTTTCCTTTAGGAAAGAAGGGAAAAGTGGGATTTATCATGTCAACTGAGGCTTCATGTTTGAAGAACAGCTTCTCAAGCACCTGCTTTCAGAAGACACTGGTCTTCGATGTGAAATCAGGTTGTTGTGTGCACACAAGGTATACCCATGAGGACGGATCCCCTGTACCTCAGAAATTGCTTCTCTGCCAGTCATGGGAGAAGCACACCAGGTAAGAAAGTAGTGAAAATAAGAGCCTTTAGAAGTACAGAAACCCCCATTACAAATTCAAATCCCTGGCCTCTCTTTATGTGTCTTCCTGATGCAGATAAGTGCACTACTGTACTGACTTTACTGCTGGTGTTTGGAGTAGGAAAAGGGCATTGCTGAGATTTTGGGGAGTTGTGAAGCTACCTTGCCTATGTCCCTGAACCTGAACAGTAATGTTTACTTCAGCAGTCTTACATCCTGCTCCTTCCAAACAGCCTGGATTTGCTTTCATAGAGGTGTTGGTTCACTAAGAACCTGTCAGGGGCAGATGTTTAGATTGAAATGCCAATTTTTAACTTACCAGGGCAGCAAAAGTTACCCTTCAGTGAAGAAGCTGGTCTTGCAGTATAACCTCTTGTGCCATGAAAAGAGAAACAGTGCAGTAAGAAACTCCTGGGCAGTGATTTGTTCTTCCTTTATGGCCTTAAAAAATCATTTGCTGCCACAGTGACTGAAAAGTTAAAAATCAAATTTGTGAAGAAGAGAACAAAACAAGTTATGTGCAAAATGTTTGTTGCTCTTTACTGCTTCCCAGCAAACACATGGCTGGAGGTGAGGACACAGTCTATCTTTTCCATCATAAAGGGCTATGTTCAAAGCTGGGGACTCCAGAGGAACTAACAGTAGCAGGTCAGAAACACTACTGAAACATCATGTATGATCCACTTGGTACAAAGCAGCATAAAACTATGCCCTGGGCAAGATCCAGGGCTTGGCCTCTGTGCCGCCTTCTGTGGATTGTGACTAAATTCAAATGAACAGGTTTAGAAGTAAGACATGGTTGCAACAAGAAGTGTGTGATCTTGAAGACTCCACATCCAAATGGTGAGCAAGACTTTGCATCTGGCCTCTCATATCTATTGTGAGAACCAAGAGCCCAGATCAGGATCAAGATACTCCAACTGAACTTGTGGTAAATCTGTTCCAAATCCAAGTGACTTAGGCTCATCAGTAGCACTTTGAAACAACAGTATTTGGGATTTTTTTTTAGGTAATTGCTCACTTTAAATTGCATATTCCAGATTCCTTCCAGAATTGCCATTGTGAGGAGCAACCTTCCTTCCTCAGGCACGTCACAGTGCTTTTTCAGATAAAAATTAACTCCAGTCATGGTAAGCGATCATAACTCGGAAGTAGGCAGAAATTCTAACTTGAATACAGAATTACTTGAACAGCTTTATAGAGCAGGTGGAACCCAGAGTAACAGTGGGGGAGAAAGGCACTGCCAAATGTGTGTAAAATGTGCAAAGTACTCTGTGCTGTCTGCTGGAAGGTAAGTCCGTGCTTAGTAAGCTGTATGAGCAGCATTGTTAGTGTGTTTGTTACGTTTTGGGTTCAGTTTGCAGTAACATAAAATCTTGCATCACCGATGTGAGTGCATCTTTGAATATTAAAAACACTAATTATTATGTAATTAGCCAACAGGATGTGTGTAATTGTGTAATACCAGCATTCTTGGGTGTGTGAAGCACGCAGGTAGAAAGCCAACACTCATCTAGGCAGAGTATTATGAAATTACACAACAACATGCACCCTGGGTGGGTACTCTAATTGTATTTGACATTTAAACAATGGCTACATTAGCAAAATCGAACTTTTCTTTAAAAAGTATCTTCCCACAGGCTCAGATCATAGTAGATGGTGGGGATAATGTTGCCCAAATAGAGAGTCATCCATCTCCCAAGGGACCCAGGCTTATTCATGAACATACAAATAGGAGACAGAAACCAGGCATAAAGAGCCCTTCATCCATTCGTGGCAAGAAGCCACCCCAAAACAGACATGTGACAATTGCAGAGTCATGCACCAGAATAATTGAATGCAGAAAATGAACAAGAAGAACTTTCTGTCTCATGAAGAATCACATGAGATTAACCAGAACTGTTATATTTTTACCACTTAACAGGCATCAGGACTGTCCTTAAACCTGGTGGAAACAGAGCCACAAGAGTGAATCCGATTCTTCTTTGAACATACCCAGGAACATCTAGGTTACAGCCATCCAATGTCTTGAGCACTTTAGTTAACTCTTATCTCTGCAAAGACCTTCACTGGAGCCAGCACTACAGCCATGGTAAGATTTGCAGTACAGACAAAAAAGGTGGATTGTTCTTTTACATGGCTCACCAATATTTTCTCTCTTTTGATACGGATCCAGGGTGAAAAATCCAGGAGAAGAATGGAAAGGTAAAAATTCCAACACTAAACAAAAAATGAAAACCAATAAACCTAGGCAGTGACTCATTATAAATGTAAAATGTTAGAGCCTAAAGCTGGGTTTTTTTCATGTGCCTGGGTGGAGAAGGGTGAGGTGCCCTCTGAGGATGATTTTATCTTTGACTTTTGAGTCTGAAGATCTTGGATGTGGTTTGGCAAGTTCATAAACATATTTGTGATAAAGTTGAACTGCTGTCTGGAAATGTTACATACAGAGATGTAAGAAAGCTTAAGGAGAAAACAGCAAATGCTGAAAGAAGAATCAGCAGTGTTCAGGAATGAGGTTAGAAACTGCGGACAATTAGCTACTAGATGACTCCTACTAAATAAATCATCAAAGACTTGACGACTGCTTCCAGGTTTCCACAACAATATTAGCTCATTGAAGCAGCCAGAAAGATGGTAATTTGGCCAAAGTTTTAGGAATTTGCTATTCTTGTTTGAATTAACCAGCAAGGCTGATGTATACTCTGTTGCCAAGCCTATAAAGCAGGGCCTTCATGCTTCCAGGGAAGATACTGTATTTATTGAGCAGGATCAAGGGCCCCATGACATGGAAAATAAGCTTCTTTGTGTTAAATAAGAGCTGCATGGGAAACAAAAACAACCTGAGCTTGTCATGGAATCTCACATCTTATTTCAGCACTCAATAAAGCACTTTGCTTGTCCAGTTTAATAGAGAAGCACAATTTCTTCTTCCTGTATGCCTCCACAAATCAGAGCTAGCTCTGATCTCATTTAGAGCTTAATCCAAGATCCAAAGTAAAAGGAAAATACTGCTGTTGCTTCCAACAGGCATCTGGTCAGTCTTGTACCATAGTTTTACTTAAGTGTAAATTGAGTGCTGAGTTTCTTCCAAGAAAAAGAGGGGTAAGTGGTAAGAAATGGGAGTCTGAATGCTCAACTTTCCACTGTTACTGCTGATAGGACCTATCCTTTGGCTTGGCAAAAACTTGTCAATTTGTCTGCCCTTTCTGCAGGGCCAACTGGTACAAAAAAGTGCTCACCTTGACCTTCTTTATTGCTACATCTGGGCAGCTCACCACAGTTGGAGTCTCTTTTACTGCTTGAGATTTACTTGTGTCCCTGGTGTGTTGTGATAAGCCTCTGAATGTCACTGCTGTGATGGTTTTGTTCCTCCCAAAGACTATCCAGAGGTTCAGTGAAGACAAGTAGGTTTTGCTTTGGTTGAAAAGTAGATTGTATTGTGTCACTGTGATAAATGGCAATATGAAAAGTGTTGGTTGAATTTAACAGGAAATTGGAATGTTTCACTTGTCACAAGGCAAGTTTATAACGTGGACTTCTGACATTGCTCATAGTAGGGGAACCTCACCCCACGTTGAGGGCGAGCTCAAGGCCTAGTTATCGTGCAAATGCAATTTCAGCTATCTTCAGACTAAGACTTAAGTGGTGCATAAGCCGCACACACTCTCTCTGCGCAGGAGTGTAATAAAAAGGAACCTGATTTGGAAAACACTAGGGAGAAATACTGAAGTTTTACACACCAAAAAGGCTATTTAGAAATGCTTTTCTTTTATACCATGTAAGCCAAGCATATTGACATTAATTATATAAGATACTTAGGGTTTGGAATAAACTGCTGAAGAGCACAAGATGTATACCAAATCCTATGCAAATGAGTGTGTGCAACTGTTTTCGGGTAACACGTTTATTTATAACAATAAGCTGTATGTATGGGTTTCTTTTTAGTGGGTAGAACATCATAAAAGGTCTCCCTCTATCTCTCGATCGCTCTTACTCAGTGTAGTGAGATAGTTACATCTGTTCAGCACAGCCCAGTATGCATTCCAGGAGCTGAGAACAGGTTCTTTCCATACTTGAGTTAGTAGTACTCTTGTCAGCTTTCCTGGAATTGCATCATGGTAACTAGGAGCAGAATTCATTCTCCTCTGGTGGTAAATTTCCTTTGGTTTCAGAAAACCTGATGGAATTCATAACTGCATTTGTATTTTTCACTCTGTGTCCCTGAGCTCAGAGGTGCTTAAAGGAAATGCTGTGACTGATTTGCTATGTTGCCCATTAGTGTTATCAGTAGAGACTCTTAATAACATTGGAAGAAAACTTCATCTATCCCTTCTTGTACCCTGGCTGCCTGCAAAGAAATTCTCTTCCTTTTGATAAGTTTACTTCATGGTGGAAGAGTCCTCCTACATCAGGGCCATGACAGGCAGGCTCAGCAGGCAATCACCTCCACTTCAAATGCTTCTGTACCTGTCCCCTATTCCCTGCTCCTTCCATCTTAGGCACTGGCCTACACGTGAAAATACTTCACTTTCCAGGACAAGTTTCTTTACTGAACCAGCCAAATAATTATCTAAGGATACTCCTTAACATTAGCGGAGATGTCTAGCTTATGTTGGAGCTGCTCTGTGGTCATTGTAGAGTGTCACCTGGCTGAGCTGTGCTGGAACTGGCAAGCTTCCTAGAACCTGCTCTACATTCTCCAAACCATCCCACAAATGCCAAGGCTGAGCACTTTTGCTCTTAGAAACACCCATCTGCAGGGGAAGATGTTGATAGTGAATAGTTATTCCCTCTCATCACCAGCAGAGAATGTTAATGTTGCTAAAGCTGGTTCAGGTTCCTTGAATTCTCCCAATTTACCTAATAATCCTCTTACCATTTCACAGTTGTTTTCAGATCTACTGTGTTTGCACAAGTTCCAGAAAGCTCATGGTAAACCAGCTGCTTTTACCTCTCAGATTCAAGCCCATTAAAGGATTTGACGAAAGCTATTCAGTGCTGTGGGCAAAGAAGAACAAACGTGATCCATTTAGGTGAGTGCAAGGATCATTTCAGACCTCTGAGAAGTAGGAAGGAGTTTCTTTGTACTCTATAATGACAACAGCAATCTCTATACATTCTCAGGAATTGTCAACAACTGGCCTCCAGTCTAGCTTGAAGATTTTAGAAACCCCATCAGCTACCAACAGGTCTGGACAAGATTACTTAAAACACAGATTGCCGGGAGGGTACATTACAGCAGTGAAACTGCAGCCTTTGACCTGTTCTTACACTTCCACTTCTTAACATTCACTACTGGTAATTAGCAGTATTGGGACAGTTGGTTTTTTGTTTATCCTAGTGTGCTTGGTCTTTGTTTTTTATATTTACATAGGTTTTGGTAAGGGTAGAGACAGCTTCTGTCCTAATTGCACTGTCATACGAAAAGTAGCAGTTTATATTGACCCTGGTCACCAAGGGTACCCTTCTGGAAAGAGGCACCTCTGAGACATGGATCCCTTGAATTGGCTGACATGATAGAAGCAGCACTTGTAGCAGAAGCCAGCTTGGAGTTGCATAGGTTTTATTGGCAACTAAATGCATAAAAGTGTTGAAGGGCGGGAGCAACAGGATACTATCAGTTGGCTGTGAAGTTGGAGTGAAAGCTTTTACATATGATTTCAGCTGTTGGAGAGGCAGATGGTTCTGTTAGTAACATATTCTTTACATGTAGATCAGCCTTTTAAACACCTTCCTGCATCTGCTTTGGATAAAAATATATGTAAACCGACCAAACCCCTGAGCTTTTGCCTTTGATACGCAGTCAGATTAGGAGGAAAAGGAGCTGCTACACATGTGAAATCAAATTTGGCTCAAAGATAATTTAGGGTGATCATAGAGGTGAAAGTTCAGAATCATTCTAACCTGGTGTGGTGCCTGTGCAAAGCGCATTGACCTCCTGTCTGACTTCTGCTGTCTGACTTTTTGTTCTTGCTTGAAACCTAAAATTTGGTTTCAAATAAAAATTGATTCCTAGCAGGTTCATATAATACAAGTACTTTATTGAATTCTGACTGAAACAGCATTGCTCAGAAACTGGGGGCCGTGTCCTGGCCTTGTGACATGGGGCCAGGAGCATTTTGCAGGATGTGACAGTTTCCAGACCACAGGCAACTCTTGTCTTTAGGGGAGGGTGAAGGAGGTGGGCACTTACCCTAGAGAGATGTTACAGGCAGCAAAAAGGCAAAGTCACAAATGGAAACTCTGGATTAGTTTCTAGCACTGATGGTTTTATGATGCAGTTTTCAAGTTCTGTTGCTGGGATGAGAGGCATATTTTTCAGGCATTCCAAGGGAACCAGAATAGACGTGGTCACCTTTGCAAGGAGAAACTGATGCTCCAAGGAAGGTGACAGCCAGGTGGGAGGAGATGCATGGGCAAAGGGAGGGAGGAAGGCAGGCTCATGGCAGGGTGGGGGGGCTGGAACTAGATGATTTTGAGGTCCTTTCCAGCCCTAACTATTTTATGATTCTATGGAGGTGGCTTGGCTGCAGCAAGGCATGTAAGGAGCGGTGGGACTGCTGGTGAAGGAAGAGACTGGTTAGGGTGTATCTGGAGGCCATAAAATTGGCGCTGAGGGGTGAGATGCTATAATCTCCTGTCTAAAAAGAATATGGCAGAGAAGGAGAACAGTAAAGCTCCTGGTGTGGCATTGTGGGGGGGGCACAGGGAGGAATAGGGCCACTTTGCACACATCCCACCCCAGAATGAGTTGACCTGGCTGCAGCTCCAGGACTGAGGAAGCACATTGCCTCTGGGTTCATGACATTATCTCAAAACAGTAAGAGAGAAGCCTCAATCTTGTACTGTTTAAGTGGGGAAACAGGAGCTTAACAGCTACCTCTTCTGAACATCAGTTCAGCTCCCATCAGGGGTTTTACCTGGGGTTCTCCTGGAGGCCAGTTTTTCCCCATAGGTGGCAGCTCTGCCTTTGCTTGAGCCTGGAAGGGCAGTGAGCATGCCAAGAACCTGGGGGTGATGCAGGGGCACCCCAGGGAGGGAGGTTTGTGCCGTTTAAGTAGCAGCACTTTGGTGGGTTTTGCAGCCCACAGTAACCTCCACGAGACCTCCACTGAAGGAGAAGTATTTGGGGATTTGTGGTGGAGGCTGGAGGTGATTCATTTGAGCTCTCCTTTCTCTGAACATCGAGTGCATTGCTCCTCTAACTCGTTTTAGAGGCTGGGCCACCCAGTGTCAAAGGGCAAAAGGAGCCTTTTGCCCAGCACTGTCATACCATTGAGGCCCCAAATCTGAGCCCTGTAAAATGTGAGAAAATGAGAGATTCGATTATCCATACGGATCACTGTGGATTTATGCCAGATTGCTTCATTAATAGCAATCAAAGACATCACTTTAATGGATTTTTTTATCCTCAAAATTGTGATCATGAGGAATTTGTTCTGGCTATTGATTTTGAAAAGGCTTTTGATTCTCTTCAATAGCCTTAACTTATTTCAGATTTAGGTAACAGTAGGATTTGGTCTTATATATGTTAGATAGGTCAATCTCCTTTATTCAAATCCACAGTTATATTAAAACTAATGACCAGAGTTTGAAGATGATTTATATACTGGGCTTAGACAGGAGAGTCCTTTTTATCTTGATACTTTTGCTGTTACAGAGAGACCTTTGTTTTGGGAGAAATCAGTGTTTTTAAGGGAAAAGTCAGTGATGTTTTCCATTCTGCCCTTAGTTGGAGAATATGTTATATTTTTAATGAAGATTTTTAGGTATTATGCAGAAAGTCACTGAATGTTCATGTTTCTTCTTTGCTAATTGGGGTAAAACTCTTAAAGCCATTAGGCGATTTAAATGTAGCTCTATTTGAGCAATATCCTTTATTGGATCCCCCATTATCCTTTAAACATCTTGGTGTGCAAGGGGATAAAATTAGAAAGAATTTGTTTGCTTTAAATTGCCAGCCTCTGCTTGATAAAACTATTAGCTATTTAGCTAATTGGACTGCTCTTCCATTATCATTAATTGGCAGAATTGATACAATTAAAATGGGGGCTTTATCTAAAGTGTTTGTGGATTTTTTTCTGAGGTATTCCCATCAAGTTCCCTGACATGCTAAGGGAGCTTTACATTCTGCAATTAGTTTTGGTTTCAGGGTTAGGGGTAAATTTAAGATCCATTTTGAAACTCTGCAGCTTCTCATAGAGTCAGCTGGCCTGGCTCCTGCTAATTTTGGTGTTGCTTTTGGCTGCCCTGCTACAACATGTTGTTTCATGATTTAGACAATCCCCAGCATTATGTGGCTGTGGAGTGCATGAGGCAGTGCAACCACATGCTGAGCAAAATCAGGCCCTCAGAGCACACCCCCTGCTTTGCAGAAGGTCACCACAAGGCTTGCTCCCAGGGTTGTGTCCTGCAAGGTGCTAAACAGCCATTATTCCCTGACCCACCAAAGCATTTTAACACAGCCATAACTTTTAAGCATACATACAGGCCCAATGACACCAATTAGCTTATTCATACCAGTCAAGTTAAACAAAGGCTGTGCTTGGTTGGGGTCACAGTAATCATCACCTTGTTTGAGACTCCCAGGTGAACCCATTGCAAACACTGCTTACACCTTGGCTGTGCTCTGAGATGGTACCCTCCAAATGAGCAAGGGGAAGGCACTGGGCTTTGAGGGGAGGTTCTGCCAACCCTTCTCTTCCCATTTGGTCAGTGCATCAAGAAACTGCACCCCCTGCTCCTGCCATCCCTGGTGGACATGCCACCTTTTTTAAGCTGCTAGCATGAGTTGTGCTTCTCCCTCCTAACACTATGATTCATGGCAGCCATTAGCCCTCAAATAAATGAATGGGCCACAAGAAAATTAAAACCAAATCACGTCTCTATCAAGGGGAGGTCTTGTTGACACATAGTGCCTCCATTGCCAGAATTAGTCATCTAGGCCTGCCTTTTGGACCAGCAGCTAAGAAAACCAGAGGATGATTAATTGGGCAGGACCAAAAGGATGTCACCCCCATTCAGCTGGCCAGAGTGGGTGGTTTCTAAATCACACTATGAGGGCAGTGGCTGTATTACTGAATACCATGCTTCATCTCCATCATAATTTTATGGAGTGCTGGGGTACCACATTTTTACTTCAACACCCAAACTTGCTTATGGTGGGACTTCCTTATCTGGCAACCCATGTATAGCTGGGTCTATTGTCATTTAAAGCTGTTTAAGGTGTATCTAAAATATAAAATTGTTTTATACAACATGGTTTTTTAATGTTCTATCTATAAGATATATGCAAATATAATTATATATCATTTCAACTGAAAAAGAAAAATAAATCTCATCCATTTTCATAGGCATGACCCCATTTGTACCTAACAGGTATGAGCACTGGAGCAACCTTGATGCAATACTGCCCTGCTTAAGTCATTTGAGCCACTGTAGTTTTTAGACTATGCCAAAGTCATTTCATGAAAGGCATCGTGCTTCATGGGTTAATCCTGATTTAGCTGTGATGCTTTGCTTTTGGGTATTATCTAAATTGTTTTGCCCATCTCCATTTATTTTGTCTATCATGAGTATCATTCTACATGGGTTTTACTCATACATTTATTTGTATTTAAATTATGCATCTCTTAAGGAGATAGACCCATCAAGTGATACGATACCCCATGGCACAAAGAATGAGGCATTGTTTACTTTTGCATAAAAAGCCATGAAGATGGAGCACACAATTTATAGGATACTAATGAATTATTTGGATGTTTGACCTAAAATCAGACTCAATCCAGCTAAGCCTGGTAGCCAGTGGAATTGAAATGTAATGGATAATAACCCAAGAGGCAACCGTATTGTAGGTCTAAAACCAAAACCCCTTAGAATAAAAGAATAAAAGAAACTACATCACTGCAGTAAACGTGCTGATCCTGTGCTGATTTATATTTCTGGATTAATTGCAGTAACTAAAAAGCATCACACTCCAAGTGTGAAACTTGCATGAAGGAGATGAGAATTAAGCCCAGAGGGAACAGAGGAGCTGCAATGCAGGAACCAGTCCTCCCTGTGAAACATTTAAGGTGTGTTAGGGCCAAAACCTCCTTAGTGCAAGCAGTGCTGTTTATTTGCTTCCATCAGCAAAGTGATTTTGGCTTATTGTCACCAGTACAAGAAGAGTCGAGAATAAGGGGCATTCCCAGGCTGAAACATTACTGTAACACCTTTTCCTCATTTGAAAATAGAGATATAATTCTGTATGTCATTAACTAAGACAATAGTAAATTAATACAATAGCCAAGTAATAGTGCTGTAGTACTTTCATGTATGAATTAGAATGGGAATACTGAGCTTTTCATGTCATGGTTGAAAAATGCATGAGTTGACCCAAATATTAATTTCTGCATTTCAATCATTTACATATCATGGGTCAATAATCATTTCTTGCACAAATGACTTTTCAAATGAGAAGCAGTTTATTGTAATGGTCTGTCATATTTACAAACATCTCGTTGTTTTCCCAACTTAGCACTTAGTATTTAAAATATACTGTTTGCCAAATACAATACAAAAATATCTCATGTAAAATGCAGAGACTATTTTCTTTTACTATTGTCTATAATTTATAATGTTCATAAACCATGGAGTGGCATACCCCAGCCTATGGGCCGCCCAGGCCCCTGTTTTGGAACTGGCATGGTTTGCCAGCATTGGTTCAGGAGACCTGACACCTCTCTCTGCTCTTCCCTGATCTTAAAAATCTCATCCCTTTGAGGAGCAGTCCAGCTGAAGATTCAGCACTGTCAGAAGCTCTAATGGTGAGGGGTTTGTGAAGTTTAATACATCCCAAGATGTCTTTACAGCATGCAGTGACATCCAGCAAAAAGCCTAGGGTATCTTTTTTCAATTACTTTACAAAGCTAAAATAATATAAATAACCTTGCTTTTTACTTACTGGTATAGAGCTTAGTCCATCATTTTGGGCTGTTCATTGTTTCCTGGTATTCCAGCCCTTTATTAGCCAGCATATCCCAACAGAAACCTTGTGTCTTGGATTAAATAGTGCTCAAGTCCTGAATTAATCAGGGACTACTGCAACATATATATGCTGTCCTGCAAGATGAATTTACACATCTGCCTTTTCCCCTAATTATAATTCCATAGGTTGAATGTCAACAGCATATGGGTATATCCTCATAGAGGCATGCAAACACACACATAGAGGCGCACACACTGTACATAAATCTCTCTTGGCTTATCTGTTACTGTCTTTAATTTGTATACTTCAAAATTGAGTGGTGAGGTCATTTATTAGACTGTTTCTGTGAGTTTTATGTAGTGATAAGAAAGCAGTAACATGCAATTTGTTTTTATAGAACTCACTTTTGTAAGTATGATCTAATATTTCCTTTCTTTAACTGAACAGTGAGGGAGAAGAGCTTTCAGAGCTATCTAAGAGTTAACTGGCTACATTTCAACTGTCACCATTGTCTTACATCTACATAGAGATGGGAGGAGAGCCAGAGAGGTGTAAGTACAGAAGGCCACTGGGAAGAAAACATTTGTAAGTAGAAATTTCTGCTCAGAAGCCTCAGAGCAGATCTTCACAGTTTGTCTTGATTTTCTCTTTCCCTATTTTTTAAACACAATGTGCAGTGAAAATGATTGTTAGTATCCAAAGGACCTTACTTGCTGGCTCGCTGCATCTCTGTTTATGAAATGCCATAACAAAAGTGAGCTCACGCTTGTGTGCTTCCAATGCGTGATGTTCCTGTGTGCCAGATGGGCACTTTCATGACTGTATGAGCGTGGATTATTTCATTTCCTACATCTGGGACTCCAAATGGCTGCACAGAATGCCACAGGAGAGAGGCACAGATCTTCAGCTGGGAAAGCCTACCTTCACAGGGGAACCAGCTACATCAGAGGGGATGGGGCAGAGAAGCCCCAAGTGGTATCTGAAAGTTCACATAAACCAGGGCCACAAGGGAAACCTTTAGAACCAGGAACAAGACAAAAATAAACAATAACTAATGCTGGATGTCAGCTGTGGAGAGGGGGGAGGGAAAATAAACCATAAGCAGTTTCTTGTCTTGCCACAGAAGATGTGTTTGGAATGCTGTTTTGTATTTCAGCTCAGAAACTCTGCTGTGACCTTCAGATATCGCTGGGTGTTACAAATTCTACAGATAGCCAGAGAGAAATATCCCAAGGAGAACTGGCATATACCATGCCATACTAGTTAATGTTGACTGTGTATTGCTCACAGCCCATTCCAGAACTGCAACCAGGCAGCCTTATAAACACTGCAGAATCCTACAGTAATAGGAATGCTACAGTTTGTCATAAAGCTATTGCGGGATTTGGGATAATTACTTGTTTGTTTGTAGGATAAAAGGGTGCTTTGCTTTTTTTTTAAGCCCAAAATAGTCAGAGGAGATCCACAATATAGTGAGGTCCTGGCTTACTATGCTTTTGCAGTATATGTTGCATTTCAGAGCCAGCAAACAGGAGGACATAGTAAGAAGAGGCAGAATAGCCTGTCCTGTATGTTTGATTGAATTAGCTGTAGCAGAAAAATATATAGTTAAGCCAATGGCTTTCTTAAGATGAAAGAGAGCAGTCCCCCAAAAGAGAACAACTGGAAAAAAGTAATGAACAAAAGAAAGTAAGAGCCTGTGACACAAAGTAAGAAAAATAAACAGCAGTTGACTTAACTATTTTGCATAAGATATTTACAAACCACAGCATATTACTGTTTGCTTTATGCATTTTCACATCCTGCTCAGTTTAAAGCAGTAATTTTCTGCAAGGACAACAGAGGGGAAAAAAAATGCTTTACACTGCTTATATTAATTACATTTTTTCATTACCCATCATGTTTTCTACAGGCTTGTGTATTATTACTGTAAAATGTAATGAAACAGAGAAGGAAAAAAGAATGGACTTCTGGGAAATTTTCCAATTCTTGAAATGCAATGTTAATTGAGTGCTATTTTTAGGTCATCACAGACAGAGCTGAACCTATTGCCATCAGTGCACAGAATGGGGACAGCCCAGGTGCAACACAGACTGGTGAGGATCTCAGTTTCTACTGATGGAGGAAAAAGGAGAGAAAGTAACTCCCTAGATTGGCAATTCTGGTTGGGGTAGTTTCTATTTCTCGATGTAAAGTCCTCAAAGCAGAAATGAAAGGGAAGGGTGCAGAGCTGGCATGGGTGCAGGACCTACTGTGACCACCGGCAATCCTGAAGGAGCCTCAGTGACTCCTGTGACAGGAGGGCAGACCAAATGAAAACAAGAGGGTCTCTCTGGTGTGGTGGCTGACTTCCAGCTCTAGGACGGAGTCAACGTAAAGTAAAGTCCCCAAAATGTATCAGAAATGCTATCCCTTTAATTTATAGATCTCCTAAAAGGCTGCCAAAAATCAATTATTTTAATTTGTATATAGTGCATCCATGGACTGATTCAAGTCCTTTTGAAGTATTTTTGAACAGCCATTGCACAAAGCCATCCTCTTTCCCATATGCAAAAAAGAAATGAATTGAAAACCACAGTTTCTCACAATCGCTTTGATTGCAAGAAAAGACACGCAGGACTCTGAGGCCCCCTGTGAAGTCCTTTAACTGGATACCTTTACTGTTAGTCCCAAGAATCAGTGTGGCTTTACTGCTCCCTCTATTAAGTGCCTCTTCCCCCAGAGAGAGCAAGGAGGGTGTTTGAGTCCCTAACAGTTTGTGAAGACAAGAGGAAATAGTTACTGGTACGTGTGGGTGGGTGGAGGTTCCCTTTGAAACAGAAGTGGAAAATCTTTGCTGTGCACTTACCAAGACTGAAAGGAAAGAGGAGAGAGCATCCCACATGGAGGAAGCCAATGTTATCTCCACTGTTCTTCTCTGTATTGCACAGCGCTACTATAAAAGCAAGAGCCTAACAGAAACATTTCAGCAGCCATTCTAAATCACCATGTGTTCTACCCACTTTGGCCCCATGCATGTAACAATCTTGAGAAGTGGTCATGACCAGATGGTAGACCAGCCAAGTACCAAGACAGTACATCCAATTCTTATGTTTGTTTTGGTACCGCTGGAGTGTTGGTAGCCAATGTGCAGGCTTAAGAGACATCTTCTCACTTGTGTCATCACCAAAGGCATCTTGAGCAGGATCCTGAACAAAGGCACTAAGCACCCAAATTCCTGAGATGATCTGGTCCACTTTACCTTGGAACAGATTGCATCCTGGTCTTTTCTTATTGAATACAAGTTTCTTTGCTTTTCTGTGGTTCTGTTAGTCACTTGAGGGTTCAGGCGCATCCTTTTTCCAGTATCAGGTCAAGAATCCCAAATATGCCCAAGCCCCACATGAAATAGCAGGTATCAGTGCTCCCCTGGGTGTGGTAGTGTGGCTCTCCTTTACCTGTGCAGTAGCATGGACCTCAGCTGAACATCATGAACCTGTCTACACATCTTGCCAATCTTCAAATCTCTGCCTTCCCAGTACGTCACATAAGCTGTGACTTAACAAAACTACCACACCAGTGCATTCCAGATGTATTTCCCCACCCATTCCCCGGCAGATCTGGCAGTGGTATATAAGTGTTACAGATTTGCGTGGCAAGGCTTAGATGGATGAAAAACAAAGCAAAGCAAAACGCAAACTGAAGAGTTAGTTTGCTCTCCAAATATCTCTAGTGCTAAGATAGAAGTGATAAATCATAAATATAAGCCAACATGATTTTCTCTTATCTGACACACTGAATTAAGACTGTTGCGCTCAAACACTTATAGCAAAATTGACAAACACTTCCTTTTAGGAATGCTGCATTAAAGCTATTAACTTTTATAGTCAGAGACCATTTAAAGCCAAGGCAAGGCATGTGCATTAGCACACACTGCCACACGCCCACACACAAGGCATATGAACTGTGATACTCTATTTGCAAATCAAGATAGAAATCCTGCTTCTTTCAACTATGCTTGTCCTGCCTCCAGCAGTGGTGCCAGCATTTGGACTTGACTTAGCCAAGCCAGCTTGATTCAACCTCACCGTGGGCTTTAGCTCATTATTGGCTTATTGGCACTTCATCAAGACCAGCCTCAACCCTGACAGCTAACCCCACACCATGACAGACTCCTTTTTATATTTAGATTAGAGTTATTCCCCTTGCTAAGAAAATTCATCTGAATCCACAGCCCTTCAATCAAGAGTCACAGCATTTTTTCCACAAAGGACACAGTTTTGTTCTTCCACAAGGATTCAGTTTTCCTCAGCACCCCAAGTTGTTGTAGATGGCAGATCAGAAATAGCAGGGCTTCCTTCAGACCAGAGCAAGTAAATTTTTTGTAGTGGGATGATAGGAGCAAGTGGTGGAGGATAGGGAAGGAGAAAATGACAAAGCTTGATCCCATTACACCACTCTTACGGGAATGGCTCCCATGTGAGCTATTCCCTTCAGTATTGAAGCTACTGAGGAAAGGGCAATAAATTAGTTTACTCCAAGTCAGTCCCAGTGCATAAATCATAGAACCATAGAATCCTAGAATGGTTTGCATTGGAAAGGACCTTAAAGCTCATCCAGTTCCAATCCCCTGCCATGGGCAGGGGCACCTTCCACCAGACTGGGTTGCTCCAAGCCCTGTTCTTGAACACTTCCAGGAATAGGGCAGCCACAACTTCTCTGGGCAACCTGTGCCAGCACCTCACCATACCACAGGTAAAGAACCCCTTCCTAACATCTTCCTTTATTCCCTTTTTAAAAATGGGGGCTATGTTTCCCTTTTTCCAGTCAGTGGGAACTTGACCAGAATGCCACAGCTTCTCAGATATGATGGACAGTGACCTATCTATGTTCTCTGCCAGTTCCCCCAGTTCCTGCAGATGCACCTCATCAGATCCTATGGACTTGTGTACCTTCAATTCTTTAGATGATCTCAAACCTGATCTGCTCCTAAAGCAGGTGATTCTTCATTCTCCCATCCCCTTCTTTGCCTTCTGTGACTTGGGCAGTGTAGCTGGAGCACAGGTTGGTGAAGGCTGAGGCAAAAAAAATCATTGAGTACCTCAGTCTTCTCCGTGTCCCAGGTAACCACATCTGCTGTTTCCTTCTGGAGAGGGCCCACATTTTCCCTGCTCTTCCCTTTATCACTGATAGACCTCTAGAAGCTTTACTTGTTGTCCTTGACGTCCATGATTTAATTCTATCAACGCTTTAGCTTTCCTACCCTGATCCTTGGCTGCTCAGGCAAATTCTTTGTCTTCCTCCAAGAAAGTCAGTATTGAAATGGTAATTCAGACTTGAGATAATGTCCTAAAATAAGTGTAGCCACTGATTTCCATGTGAATTTTGCCATAGCTTTTACCAGGACTAGGATTTAATCTCTGGGTGTTTTCATTTTTCCACTTGATTACCTGGCACCCATCCTCTATTGAAAGACAGTCACAGCGCACCTGAAGAATTGCAGTAATAAGCCAGTCAAGGAAGCTTTGCAGGAATGGACCCATGGAGACTGTAGTCATTTGACTGGATCAATAGGTGGGATTTCATCAGAGAGGGGAGATTCAAATGTCACTTTGAAAATTTCACTCCAGTGTGTTCATTTTCTGTTTCATCTGTGTTGGGAATGGACTGGAGATTTAAACCCTGACTCAGAGCAGGAGAAATGAGGATCCATTAATTCTTATGAAAAAAAAAAAGGGGGGGGGGGGGGGAGGAAAGCGCCATTTCAAGCCATAGCCCTAACATAAATGAATTTGGCATGTTCAGGAGTGGACCATCACTTCCATGATGAGATCAATGGGTACAATTTAAGCTTTGGTAGGATGAGGCCTCAAGCTTGCAGTGCTTAAATATGTTTCAGGATCTGGGATTTTCAAAAGCTCATGTGTTCCCAACTCCCAGTGGCAACAAGGAAGCTTTAAAAATCTGAAGAAGGCGCAGATCTACATCCAGAGGTGCTCAAATATCCGTGTAAATCTGCCTCTAATTTATCCAGCAGCCCTGTCCTTCTGGATTGCTTTTGGAACCACAAGCACTTTACACGGCACTACTCTGCAAACTCTTCTCCTTTGGGTAGCTGTGGAATAAAAAGGAAAGAAAACATATTACAGCCCTCAACTGACAGCAAAAGTGCCATAAGCAGTGATGTGATAGCCAGGATGCTAGAAGATGCTCAATACATTTAATGTCAATAATGTTAATGTCACCAGAGTGCAGAACTGACCCTGGCCTCTCTGATTTGCCTCAGTAGTTCACACCTTAACCCTGTTATTTTCAAGTTTTTTTACCTTGTAATCTTTCTGGGTATCATCAGAATAGCGTTTACCTCCCAAGCAACCCCTCAAACCCAAGCATAGCCCTGTTTAAGTAGTGGAATTGAGATAAAGAATACCATGCTTAAATGGCATCCTTTGAAAGGGGGCACTGTGCATAATAGGCCTGCCAGGTTCCCATCAGAAGGTCTAGGAGCAGACTGGGGGACTGGAAACACTGACTACAGCCAGTTTCTTTAGTTCTATGTGCTAACCCACTTTCTTCAAACAATATGACCATTTGGTGCATTTAGCTCTAAATATGTCAACTACGCCTTTAGGAAAGAACTTCCAAAACCTAAAATCATCTCTTTAAGATCAAATTCATTACCTGAGCTCAAAATGATTCTTCTCTACACAAATAAATACATACACTTGTGTGCTTTGCACTGGAGGAATTGTCCTGGGATAGCACTGTGCTGTCTGTGGAGCCCTGCTAAAAAGTCTGGCTTTCTGATACCCAAAGAGCACTGCAAATATTAACACATTGTAGACAGTGGAGGAAAAAAGAAGCAAGAATGATTATCCCAGAATGGAACAAATCTAAAAGTAAATGGTCTTCATTTTCATCTATTGCAGACCAATGGGGGTGAAACAACTTTAATTAGTGTAACAGGACAATAGCAGTGAAATTGGCTTGGCCACAAGATTTTTGCAGGATGACAGTGGTGGTATTGCTGTCCAACTTCAAAGATTTGGAAAGATGCGGCTGCTAACACTGAAGAATAGAAACCTGTTTTTCATCAACTAGGCTGGCCTGACAAATTAAGTCTGTGGAGTCATTAGATTAAGATAAGAGCTTATCTCCTAGACTGACATTTATTCAGAGGTTTTTATGCTGCTCAGCTAGTAATTAGTGCAGTTGAATTTTTAACACTGCTTTGTCCAGTCATTTGACAAAGCAGAAATACATAAAGTTTTGATTAAAAAAAATGTAACTAAAATGCAAGAATCTAAAATTATTACCTTGGAAAGGTTCTAATTTCCCCAAGAGTTGAGATGATGCTAAAAGTCTTCGCGCAGGTCAGAAGTGTTTCTGCTGTTAACTCATTTCCATAAGCAGACTGAGAGGCCCCTTCAACTAAATTTTTAGGCACTAAGCAGCAGATCTCTGTGGCAAATCTGTAATTTCTTTCATGCCCATCCATTATGTAATTCTGCTGCTTTACAGCAGTAATACAGTAAAGGCTGCACTCCTGCTCATTGACGCTCGTCCGCTTCCTTCAGCACTCAGGTTGGGATTTGGGGAGAGGGATTCTAAAAGGTTCTTATAGGGACAATTTCATGCGGTAAGGTTTCTTTTTCCTGTCCTAATTTTCTTATAACAGATGGGCTGTTCCACAGTAAACCAGTTCATTGCTTTTGGATAATGTTTTAACACTGCTTTAGACTAACAAATTTTCTTTTAAAGAAAAGAAACCCAGCTCACTTTGAGAAACTGAAGATCAGAATTGGATTAATAATTAGTGGATGAGTGTTTGTTGATGAACTTTGTCAGGTTTGTTACAGCTGCATCTTGTTACTGCTGTTACAGTGTTTGTTTTGTATGAAGTGCAGCCATCTCAGCATCTATGGTCCTTCCTTTCAGAAATCTACAGGCAAGGGGAGTGCATGGTGGTAAATTATGGTTCATCCCACTACTTTATTCCTATTATTACTGGCTTGCACAAAAAAAAACCACCTCACGTGGACTCTGGAAATATCCTGATGATCTCAGACTGCTTGGAAAAGAGACCGTTTCTTTACCTTTTACACCTTCCTGCCAGGACCCCTGAAGTCCTGAACTCCCAGGCCCAGGGTTGCAGAGGGTTACCATTGCTGCCACTTGCATGCACCCCTGAGCCCGAAGTGGCAGGGGTAGAGCAGGACACAGGCTGTCAGGCCAGCTGGGATCAGGGTCTTTGTGAGTTTGGGGTTAACTGTTTTTTATATGACACCTCCAAACCCAGCTAATATGAAATTAGTAAGATCTCCTTTTGATGGGCTGTGGAGATATCAGCATATAGGTGTCTTAATGGTGTCTGTCACAGCTGTCCATCAACAGTACTGGTTCATGGGGCAGTTCCCTTTTCCCAGAGCCATTTCAGACACCTCGTGACATGCTGCCCATCTGTGGGTTTTTGTTTTACAGACTGCTGCCATCCTCCTATACTTCCATGAGAGACACCATTGACCTGCACCTTTGCCTTGAGTCGCCAATTTAAAGACAGCTACTGCTTGATAGTACACACAAAATGAATTATTAGTCTTTAGTTATGGCCTAAGTGTCTGGAGACTGAGACCTTCACTGGCCCCATGCAGAAGGCCAAGGACGGACAGAAGCACCAGCAAAAGAGAAGTCCCAAGAGGTTAAGGGAAGGGGCACTGCAGACTAATAAACTCTGTTACTACAAGGAGAACTTTGTTCAACTTCTGATGCCAAGAAGGACAGCCTGGACTGGCAGGTAAATTTCCCTGAAGGTAGTGGAAATAGAGGTTAGAGCACCATATTTATCACAGGCTACTTAGTACATAGTGAGATACTGCAAAAAAGACAGTTGTAGATTTAGCAGCAGGAAGGTGTCATTGAAAGCAGTAGCAGTCCAACCATGCTCCTTTGCCTTCCATTTGCGGTGTCCCACCCTTACGTATTTGGCCAAGGTCAGATAGGAGAGAATTTTTTCTCAAGTTTCTAGTGTTCCTCAGAAATTTTTAAAATGAGAGAAAAGGGCAATAACAACTTCTTTTAACTGACAAACATGTTTTCAGTGTCCCCAGAAAATGCCTGTCAACTTAGACATTACTCTGCTTTTGGTTTGATACTTTTGGCTTCTGAGTTTGGTGTAAGAGGTACTCATGTCCCAGAAAAAAAATACGCTTGCCCTTTTTAACTGGATTCCATAGGCTGAAATTTATCCATGGTAAATGTTTCACAGTAAATTATGCAGCCAGCTCCACACAAACATCTTTTACTCTCCGAAATAAAGGCGAGCACTCAGTCGCACAAGTACATGGTGTAGCCATCCAGCTGTTTGTGTTTCCCCCAGGCATTCAACACTCCTCACAAATAACTACACTTTGCACTTCTGTAACACACATCCTGTGACCCCACAGTGCAACTGCAAAGGTGGGGTAAGCACCTCTATTTCTATTTTATAGGTACTTAGCGCTTCTGAAATGCAAGCTCAAGGCAGGCTGTGTTGAATGTCTTAAGCTTGGGGAAGTCTTTCTGGAAACCTGATGGAAAATACTGGCTCAAATATTACTGGTAAGTCAAGTGGTCAATGGTCAATGTGACTGTTGGAAGGTGGGTTCCCTCACAACGCATGAAATTCCCTCTCCAGTAGTCCAAGCTTCTTCCCATTTTGTTTTTCTGTGGTGCAGTATTCATTAAACCCTTTGCCGTGACATGTCATTGCCAATGTGCCAAATCCTGAGCAAATCACATCCTCTGTTCTTCTGTAGCAGATTTGTGAGATAATCTATTATAGATTAATCATTTTAGTCTTATGGTGCAATGTCAGAAATAAATTGGGGTTATGAAGCTGGAGGGGAGCCACTTTTGGGGGCTGGTGTGTTCTCACTGACGCTCCTTATTTGACTTTGAAAACAGTGTCATGATGA